CACGTGTCACGATGTGGTGAGTGACGTTATGGCGCACGGGCAGGAGTTGCGCAGATGTGGCCGTCACTCGAGGGAACTCTCTAAACAAGTCTGCGAGAGTGGGCGCCGCGCACATGCGCACACCGACGGAGCCGATGTCGGCTCGGGTTCCCACGGCGCACGTCGTGCCGTGTTCAGCCTGGAGGAGCTGACGGCGCATGTCCACCAGCAGACGATGATGGGCGAGAAAGTCCGCTCCCAAGATCGGCATCGATACGTCAGCGACCATGAAAGTCCACGGGTAGTCCACTGTTCCGAAACGCACCGAAGTCGAAATAACGCCATGGAGCTTGATCTCTGTGCCGTTGGCTGCTTCCAGTCGAGGCGCGTCGGGCTGCTGCACGGTGGTGCCGTCGGCCACGACTCGTGGTGGGACGACACTCACCTGTGCGCCGGTGTCGACGAGGAACCGCCAGTTCCGGGCAAGGTCGGTGACATAGAAGAGGGGCGCCAGTGTTGGCCGGCCCGTCTCCGCTGGCGCTAGCGCGGACAGGCGGGCTAGTTTCCCGACCAGGAGCACGGCGGTCTGCAGCGGTGGGCCTCCGCGCCGTACTTCTGGTGGTACCAGCAGTACCCTTCATCAGGTGTCACCGATGCCGGTTGAGAACTGCCAGACGAGGCAGGTGCGGGTCGGCGCGGACGGGAGCGGGAGCGGCCACGCCGAGGAGCGTCGGCACCGCCCCGCTGGAACACGGCTTCGATTCGTGCTACCGCAGCGGTGAGGGCGGTGACGGCAGCGGCCATGCCGGAGTTACCGCACCCGCAGGCGGCGAGCGGTCCGGCGGCGGTCACTGCGCTGGCCGGCGGGGCGAGCGTGACCCCAGGGCCGGCCGGCGGGCCACAGGCGGCAGCGACGCCGGCCGTCGGCGTGCAGACAGCAGTCACGGCGGCACCGCCAGAGGCCTCCTGGAATCGGTCGGCCGCGCTGGCCAGGTCGTCAATACCAGTGTCCTCCGGCAGCAGCGCGAGGGCGGCGCGGGTCGTCGGCGGCAGGCGCTGCAGGAACAGCGTCCTGAGAAGGCCGAGGTCGTGGCCCGCGCTGCCCAGCATGTGCTGCATGCTGCGCAACAGCTGCGTGGGCTTCCTGTCGCCCAGCTGGTGGTCGCGGAGGAGTGCCTCGAGGCGTGAGGCGCGCGACTGGGCCAGGCGCGTGCTCAGGGCCCCTTTTAGTTCTGAGAACGAGCCGGTCTCGGCTGTTATCACGTCTCGAACTTGTGAAGCGACATGGACAGGCAGGTTGGCCACCAGCAGCCGGAACTTGTCGTGGTCATCCGTGATGCCGGCGACGGCGAAGGCACACTCGACCTGCACCAGCCAGAGCTCGGCTTCTTCAGGTGCGTAGGCCGGCAGCCGGAACGACGCGAATGGCCGCGTCGGCGCGTCCTGGGCGGCACTCTCCGGCTCGATGGGTGACGGCATAGTCACTATATACGGCAAACACTAACACTAGAGGCACACTGAAAGACTGTCGGTAATCACTAGGCGCTCGCCGCGCTCGCTGCGCTGCACTGCGTTGGCGCTCGCTGCGCTGCACTGCGTTGGGCGCTCGTTGCGCTGCACTGCGTTGGCGCTCGCTGCGCTGCACTGCGTTAGGCGCTCGTTGCGCTGAGGCTAGGCCACGTCACCAGCGCACTATTCACCACGTCACCAGCGCACTATTCACTGTTCGCGGCAGCGGAAGCCGGGTGAAGGTCACCCATTCTTGCCGAGGCGATGGGGAGGCCAGGTCAAAGATGACCTCTTCTTGCCGAGGCGGAGACGATGACTTCTTGAGCTACCGATCACGTCGGGGTCACCATTTGTGGCTGGTGCCGTGGCGAGTCGTGCTCTAAGCCGGATGAAGCCGTTCCAGTGTTTGGGATTCGCAACTTGGGATTCCACACAACGACGGGCTGGGAAGTTCCCTGATGTGGAGCCGTCTCCCCCAAACACTTAGATCGGCCAAGGATAGCGATGTATTTGAAACAGCATGAGCAAGCTATGTAGTGAACACAACGATGAAACCATAGTTCGTTTTGGCAAAGTTAAGGACAGTACAAAGCAGTGAGAAAACGTATATCAGAGCGAGAGATACTTTCTAGAAGAGTGCGTGAATGCCCACACGACGATGAACATTATGATACATACACACGAGCATACATTTCTAAAACATTAATAAATCGGACATAGAAAATGAACAAGTGGAGCAGAGACATCTGGCGGATATCGCTGAACCTGCGCCTCGCGTCAGCTGCGACAGCAGCGCCACGTTGAGGTCGACGGTGGCGCCGCCCCGCGTCGGAGCGCTTGCCAGTCGCCAGCGGCGGTAGTGCCGCGCCGCGTCGGAGAACGTGCGGCGGTGCACTACAAAAGGGCCTCTTTGGGGCCCTCTTTGGGCCCCTTCCTTTGGATTCCCCGGTAGGTTTCTTCAGCCAGATTGAAGAGGGGGCCCAGGAGAGTGTCTGTGCAAATTTTGAAGAAAATCGTAGGGGCCGCCCCATTGGGCCCCAAATTTCAATTGGGTCCCGTGGGCCCCAGGTGGGCCCCATCGAAAAATGTTACTTGGGTTTTTTGTTTGGGAAATTACGCTCTTTCCAATGATGTGCATATTGCCGGGGTTGGTCGCGAAATTAGGGGCAATACTTAGAAAGGGCCTCTTTGGGGCCCTCTTTGGGCCCCTTCCTTTGGATTCCCCGGTAGGTTTCTTCAGCCAGATTGAAGAGGGGGCCCAGGAGAGTGTCTGTGCAAATTTTGAAGAAAATCGTAGGGGCCGCCCCATTGGGCCCCAAATTTCAATTGGGTCCCGTGGGCCCCAGGTGGGCCCCATCGAAAAATGTTACTTGGGTTTTTTGTTTGGGAAATTACGCTCTTTCCAATGATGTGCATATTGCCGGGGTTGGTCGCGAAATTAGGGGCAATACTTAGAAAGGGCCTCTTTGGGGCCCTCTTTGGGCCCCTTTCTTTGGATTCCCCGGTAGGTTTCTTCAGCCAGATTGAAGAGGGGGCCCTGGAGAGTGTCTGTGCAAATTTTGAAGAAAATCGTAGGGGCCGCCCCATTGGGCCCCAAATTTCAATTGGGTCCTGTGGGCCCCAGGTGGGCCCCATCGAAAAATGTTACTTGGGTTTTTTGTTTGGGAAATTACGCTCTTTCCAATGATGTGCATATTGCCGGGGTTGGTCGCGAAATTAGGGTCAATACTTAGAAAGGGCCTCTTTGGGGCCCTCTTTGGGCCCCTTCCTTTGGATTTCCCGGTAGGTTTCTTCAGCCAGATTGAAGAGGGGGCCCAGGAGAGTGTCTGTGCAAATTTTGAAGAAAATCGTAGGGGCCGCCCCATTGGGCCCCAAATTTCAATTGGGTCCCGTGGGCCCCAGGTGGGCCCCATCGATAAATGTTACTTGGGTTTATTGTTTGGGAAATAACGTTCTTTCCAATGATGTGCATATTGCCGGGGTTGGTCGTGAAATTAGGGGCAATACTTAGAAAGGGCCTCTTTGGGGCCCTCTTTGGGCCCCTTCCTTTGGATTCCCCGGTAGGTTTCTTCAGCCAGATTGAAGAGGGGGCCCAGGAGAGTGTCTGTGCAAATTTTGAAGAAAATCGTAGGGGCCGCCCCATTGGGCCCCAAATTTCAATTGGGTCCCGTGGGCCCCAGGTGGGCCCCATCGAAAAATGTTACTTGGGTTTTTTGTTTGGGAAATTACGCTCTTTCCAATGATGTGCATATTGCCGGGGTTGGTCGCGAAATTAGGGGCAATACTTAGAAAGGGCCTCTTTGGGGCCCTCTTTGAGCCCCTTCCTTTGGATTCCCCGGTAGGTTTCTTCAGCCAGATTGAAGAGGGGGCCCAGGAGAGTGTCTGTGCAAATTTTGAAGAAAATCGTAGGGGCCGCCCCATTGGGCCCCAAATTTCAATTGGGTCCCGTGGGCCCCAGGTGGGCCCCATCGAAAATTGTTACTTGGGTTTATTGTTTGGGAAATAACGTTCTTTCCAATGATGTGCATATTGCCGGGGTTGGTCGTGAAATTAGGGGCAATACTTAGAAAGGGCCTCTTTGGGGCCCTCTTTGGGCCCCTTCCTTTGGATTCCCCGGTAGGTTTCTTCAGCCAGATTGAAGAGGGGGCCCAGGAGAGTGTCTGTGCAAATTTTGAAGAAAATCGTAGGGGCCGCCCCATTGGGCCCCAAATTTCAATTGGGTCCCGTGGGCCCCAGGTGGGCCCCATCGAAAATTGTTACTTGGGTTTATTGTTTGGGAAATAACGTTCTTTCCAATGATGTGCATATTGCCGGGGTTGGTCGTGAAATTAGGGGCAATACTTAGAAAGGGCCTCTTTGGGGCCCTCTTTGGGCCCCTTCCTTTGGATTCCCCGGTAGGTTTCTTCAGCCAGATTGAAGAGGGGGCCCAGGAGAGTGTCTGTGCAAATTTTGAAGAAAATCGTAGGGGCCGCCCCATTGGGCCCCAAATTTCAATTGGGTCCCGTGGGCCCCAGGTGGGCCCCATCGAAAAATGTTACTTGGGTTTTTTGTTTGGGAAATTACGCTCTTTCCAATGATGTGCATATTGCTGGATTTTGTCGATGTTATAGGCCTGAAATTGTTGAAAACGTTTATTTATGCCCCGAGGGCATACTCCCGGGCCCATATATTTGAAGCTGTTTTGTTCGGTTCAGGGGGGCGCTAGCCCCCTAAATTTGGTACCGTGGCACGTAAAATTTTGTCCTCTTTCGAATGACGTGCATTTTTAGCTGTTTTGACGGCTAGAAGTAGGGTTTTCAAAGTTCGTCGATTGTGCCCTGAGGGCATACTGTTTTTTGGGATTTGTGGCCCCCCTGATGGATTCCCCGCATTTTGGCACTAGGATTTTCGATAGAGGACACCATTCTGCACCTCTCCACCAAAATTCAGCGAAATCGTAGGGGCCGTCGATCCCTGCTGAATCCCTGCTGAACCCCTGCTGAATCCCTGCTAACTTCCGTTACATTGCGACCTGCGAGTCAGCGTGACAACGCGGGATTTCTCCCACACGCGAATTTCTGGCAAAGTGTCCTAAAAGACTGAGTGAGTGTTTTTATATACCTTGACTGAGTGAATCCGTAAACACGGTATCTGAAGCTGTATTGATAAGATTCCGCAACAATATCAATGAAGCAATGTCAATTTGTATGCAATATGAATACTGATTCCTGAGAGCAAGAGAAGCTGAAGTCACAGAAGGCTAGGCTCGAAGCCGCCGCGTTCAAATCCATATTAATCTGAATCAGAATCGAAAAGTTGTGGCCGGGTCAAGAGATCGAGCTTGAAATGGATCAAAGTGGTAAGTGCATACACACCTGTCATTATTGTCTTCATTTTCACATAAAGCCCGGTCTCCACTACGCGATTTTCCATGCGATTTTGGGATAGTGCGAGAATGCTATGCCCGCCTTGGCAATGCCAGAAAATGATCATCTTGTGCAAACGGACACGCTGAGCCACACTGCAGGAATGGTATAATTGCATGAAATGTCGTTCAATACTGCTCATGCTGATTATCGCAAAACAATTCAGAATTCTGAACTTATTTGTGATAATGCGATATCGCAATACCAAAAAATCGCATTGAAAAATTGTGCATTGGAGCCTGGGCATAAATGTTGGCTCAGGCATGGTTCAACTCAACTGTCATCTTGGCATAAAGCACAGAGAAATAAAAATATGATGAGCTATTTTTCTGCTAACGCATGAAAGTGAAGAACAGGATCTACTAGCTGATTTCAAAATGTCAAGTTTGGAAATCCTGCCTCTTATTTTGCAATGGTACATTAGCATACAAGTTAACAAATGCATTTTGGGCTTGAAGCTACAACCTAGTGGCTAGTCAGTTGTCAGGCTAATCTCATTTCCATTTTGACATGCACCCACCCTCTACAGGTGGAGATGCAACTCCATTGGCTGGTGTCAAGCATGTCATCCTTGTCATGTCAGGCAAGGGAGGAGTTGGGAAGTCCACAGTGGCCACACAGCTCGCGTTGGGTAAGCAGCATGGCTCTGCAGAAGCTGAACAGTGAAAGGGTGTGCTACTTGAGCTGGCTCATGCTGAGATACAAATTTAAGCCCCTGGGCTCTGGGTTATCCCATGCTTGATCATTTGTATATGGTCATTGGGCATGTGATGGTTGGTTTTAAGAGCTGCATCAGCACATAGCTCACATAGACTTGTAATCTCTCCCTTCACTTTTCCACACAGGTATTCGTGCTGCCGGTCACCGAGTTGGTATCCTGGATATAGACCTCTGTGGGCCCAGCATTCCTAGGATGCTCGGTCTAGAGGGGAAGGACGTCCACCAGTGTCCACAGGGGTGAGCGACTAAGACCTGCTTCTATGGGGTTGTTATTTGTGTAATTGACTTGCAATTGACTTGTAATTTGTGTAATTGAGTCATGAGTGTAAAGTCATATCATGAATGAGTTAACCCGCGCCGGGCCGGTGCTCTGAGATTCCGCGCCGGGCCGCGGGGGGGGGGGGTGTTTGAACACCCCCCCCCCCTTCTAACTCGGCTCGTGGGCCACGTAGGAACACGCGGTAAGCGGCAATCGAAAGAACGTCAAAAATAAGGACGAAAACACTTCGGTCATTTTTTTGGGTCAGGTCAAAGGTCAGGTCACCAGAGGTCACCAAAGGTAAAATGTTGACTATTTCAACATTTTGGAAACTGCCAACGGCTATCTCGGGAACCGATAGAGCTACAGCGCCGCAAAAAAGCGCATTCGATAGCCCTTTTACAGACCTTTCTGAGTAATGTTCTCAGATTTGACCTCAGGTCAACGGTTTAGCCTCCAGAGGGCAAAAACTCCAAAAATAGCCGTTTTCACGAAAAACGTTTTTCGGCAATAACTTTTTACTCAAAAGAGCTATGACATTACTTTTTCCAGCATCGTGTTCCTCTCGTCGAGACGCGTCGAAAGAACTATAATTTGACCTTGAAAGGTCAGCTTGAAAATTTGACCTCAGGTCAAGGTCATGACCTGACCGGAATAGGTCGTGTTGCATATCAGTCGATCCGCAACGTCGAGCCGAACACATCTAAGGCGTTTTCAGCGCTCTGATTAGCGCTCTATCACCTAATCAGAAGTTATCATCGAAAAACTGTTAGATTCTGTTCGTGACCTGAGATGACCTCGGGGACATAACGCGGGGTCACAGTTGCCATTTTCTGGTTCAGTGTGTCTATTTTACCTACATCTCTATGTTTGAGAGTGTCTAGAATAGCGTTCGTGCAAAACAGACGCTGTTCAATTTTCTCCCATTGACTTATAATGGAGAGACAGCAAAATTGACCTGAGCTTAGGTCACCGATATCAAAATTCCGAGATATACATTTTATAGATAGTGTTGCTCGAATCAATCGCTGAAAGTTCCAAGGCAATCGTTCAGTCGGTGTAGCTATGACGAGCATTCTTATTTTTTTCTGAGGTGAGGTCACTTGGCGTGACCTGGTGACCTGACTTAAGGTGACCTGGTTCTGAAATTTTCACAACATGTGCGGAAAAGATGCACAAACAGGTGTGCCAAAAACGGCGGCGCTCAGTTTTTGAGATATCTGCGAAAAACTGCAAGGGGGGTGTTCAAACACCCCCCCCCCCGGCCCGGCGCGGGTAACAGCTGGAATGGATGTATATGCTAACAAGTAACAATGGTAGCCCTCTGCAGTTTTTGGTGATTGAGTACTGACGGTCGTCATCCCCCTTCCCCAGCTGGGTGTACTGATGGCCACTGTTACCCCCCCCCCCCCTTCCCACAGCTGGGTGCCCGTGTACGCCGACCAGCAGCAGACTCTGGCCGTGATGTCCATCGGCTTCCTGCTGACTGACCGAGACGAGGCGGTCGTTTGGCGAGGACCGAAAAAGACTGGTACGACTCACTCACTCATTCATACCTACCAGTAAAACGCCTTTTGGGCGAAGAACGAGCGAGCGAGATAGTGAGCCCTGCACGTGCGGAAGGGCGATAGGGTACTTCCAACGGGCTTGTGCATAGCACCTTTCTAACCGGTCGCTAGCGGTGTGCCAAATTTGAACGCAATCGGCCCAGCCGTTCCTGAGATATGGAAGCGGCATTCTGCACGTGCGCACGTGCAAACGGGTCCAAAATGACTTTTGCACGGCACCCTACTAACTGGTTCCCAACCGTGTACCAAATTTGAGCGCAATCGGCCCAGCCGTTCTCGAGATCTGGAAACGCCCCCTGCACGTGCGCACGTGCAGTAACACCCTAACCGCAACACATGGGAATGCATTGCCTGGTGGGCGCCTACCTGTATGCCAAGTTTCAGCGAAATCGCCCCAGTAATTACCGAGTTACTGAAATGGGAACAATTTTGGCACCTCTTATTGTTGTATTTTGCACGTGCACTGGGGGTGAGCCACATGCATCGAGAGTATCCTATTTTGGGTAGAAGGGATGCTGCTACCCTACAAAAATTACCGCAAGTCAATCGCCCAAACGGCTGCTGAGATATGAGCCTCTCAAAATCACTACTTTTGCAAAACAGCTTGAACACCCTTGACTTTTCACGTGGCACGTGCGACGATGGTCACTGAGATGTATCAAAAGTAGTCAATTACGGGGTAGAAGGGATGGGGCTACCCAATAAAAAAGACCGCAGGCCAATCGGTCCAGCGGTTGCTGAGATATAAGCCTCTCAAAAGCGTTACAGGCCGGGCCGTGCCGGGCCGGGCCGCTCATACTGAGATTTTTCCGTTATATTGAAAAGACTCACTTCGCTCGCTGCGCTCGCTCGCTCGTAACAACCCAGTTGTAGATATCATTAAATGCTGCAGGAGTATGTGAAGATTCCTCACTAGCTCCATGGGTCTGTCTGACTTCCGCTGTGCATTCTGTGCTGCAGCCATGATCAAGCAGTTTGTGACGGACGTGGCCTGGCAGGACGTCGACTACCTGTTGATCGACACACCGCCGGGCACCTCGGACGAGCACATCGCCATCCTGGAGAGCCTCAGGTCGGTGGTCGTTATCAAACGCCCTCCGCGACTATGACTTTACTGCTTACAGCTCTCCCCATGGTAACTGTGTGATTCCCCTGTCCACAGTTCTGCCTACTGTGACCGTGTTACCCACAGCCCTCCCGCTCTGACCGCACCTCCCCCACCCCCAGGCAGCTGCGCTGTGACGGCGCTGTGCTGGTCACCACTCCTCAGAACCTGGCCGTGGGCGACGTCCGCCGCCAGGTCACCTTCTGTCGCCGCACCGGCCTCAAGGTGCTCGGTATCGTGGAGAACATGAGTGGCTTCGTCTGCCCCAACTGCTCGGTAAGTGTCGGAGGCTGACTGCCGGCGGCGGTAGCTGCCTGAACATATATATGTGTTCACGTTATCGCTTTTCACAACAGTGAAACTGTTAATTTATCTTACAAGTTATGGATTTAGTGATGTGACCCTCCCTTTCCGTGTGTTTATAAAGTAGGCTTGTCCACGGTGTCAACTGCCGCAATGGAACTGCTGTCGATATCCTTTACATTCCACCGTCCAGTTCTACACGACCACTCATCACTTAACATCGAGACTTGTAGAGGGCGGGGAGTGGAGGTCTGCTGTCTTTTTTGAACTCGATAAATTAAAGTAATGCAGAACGGGTCGGGCAAGTGTCTAAGGTGCTCTGGCGCTACTAGTCCGGTAAGTAGAGTGACTGACCGGTAGGTGGCGGGAAGCGATCGGGTGTTCGGTAGGTGAAGGCGAAGTGAGCACGAAGTAGGTAGGTGGCGGCAGCTGCTCTAGCAGCAACTGGCGGATGGTTTCGGAAGCCGTCCGCTAGGCGGCGCGGTGGGACCTGCTCTGGGTAAAACTGCTCTGCTTTCGGAGATGTCGGCTGATGCAATTTATGTTGCGACTTATGTTAACCCGCGCTCCACTGGGGTGTGCGTATAACACGCCCCTACTGGGGGGGGGGGGGGAGGGGGCTATTCATAGCCCCCCCCCCCCTAACTCCGAAACTACTGGGCCGATCGTCAAAATTCAAACGGCGTCTGATAGCCCCGGAAAAAACTGTCTAGCGAAACCTAATTTCATTGACCTCAAGGTCACCGATGACGTCACAGGTCAGGTCAAAGTAAAAATTATTAGCATTTTGGCTTGATCACCTTTTGGGCTATGGCCGCCGTCTTACAAGTCAGATCAGGTTGATTTTTCGTTTACACACTCGTGAACAGATGCTTTAGATACCATGAGGGTACTAAACTTGTACTTTGATTTTCAGGTCAGGGTCAGGTCATCACAGGTCACGGAAATATTTTATCATGCGTCGGTCACGTGACACATGTTTTATGGTCCATTTAGGCCATAGATTTCGAATTTGATGCCGTCTGAGTCATTCGAGTTCATTTTGAGTCGAATTTAGCTTAGTTCAGGTCACTTTCAGGTCAAAAAAGTCAAATTTTGAAGTTAAAACTTTTCAACAACAAAGGTGTCTATTGGATGCAGTTTTAGCTCAGAAATACGATGGTGCTATTTATATTGGTGTACGATTTCAAATACGCACTGAAAAATTGATTTGAAAAATTAATAATTGTGATTTTTTTTGCAATAATGCGTATAACTTGGCCATTTTTGAAGATATTTAGCTAAAACTTGCTAGAGCAAGTCATAAGCATGCGTTCTATGACATATATTGCGTTTTTTCGAAGTCAAAAACTTTTTTGAAAAAAATTAAAAATATAAATTTTGAATTTTATTTTATAAAATTTTCGAAATTTTCGAAATTTTGAAAATCCGAGATTGCAGTTTGATAGCGCAGTCTATTCTGAGTCCTTTCATGCAAAGAAATTGAATCTAGCTTAAAAATTGAGCTCTTGGGAGCGATTGCCGTGGTTCAATGTTTTGCGTCGAAATCGGCCGAACATGACGTCACTCTGACGTCATTTTTGGCCGACCTATGGTAGCTACGAAGTTCATATTTTGACACAAGGTGTCAAATTGATGCAGCCTAAGGTACTGAAAGTTTGGCGTCGATACACGTCAAGCGGTTTGGAAGTTATTGCAGAAAAACGGAAGGGGGGCTATGAATAGCCCCCCCCCCCTCCGTGGGGCGCGGCTTAATGTTAAGTTACTTCCCTTACTGATAATTGTACTTTTGGTTGTATTTGTAACATTTCTTCAAATGCATATCTTGTGTGTATTTGATGTAAATGGTTGATGCCGCCAACAGTTCGATGTAATATCCCTGTTCGCTGCGCGCAGTGCCCATTTTTTTTTTTTTAATATATATATGACTGAGGGAGGCTGCGCCATCAATCATCGGGTGTGTCCTATCTGTATCAGCCAATAACCCTGTTTGTCCCAGCGGGGAGCGGGCCATCCCTCGAGCAGAGGCACCATCTTTCTTTCACCGTCCATTGGCCCAGCTCGCCTGGGTAATCAGACGACCGGGATATGGTGACGATAAGCGCGGCAAACAAAACAAAAAACACACGGCGATCCGTGAACATCGTCTATATTGTAGCAAGGCGATACAGCAGCTGTATTTCAGGTCAGGTTTCGTCATCAGTCCTTTCCTATTCCAGGATACCGCTTGTCATTGCAGCAAGAAAAATTTTCTTCAGCCGTGTACCTATCCATTATGCTGTTTATAATGGATTATATCCATTATGTTGTTTACAGGTTTACAGTCATTTATGTGGTAGTGCATACTGCGCATCAGACAACAATTTACGCTCGAACCAAATAATATTACAAACAAGTGACTACTCAGATTGCATTGCTTGCTGCGACGTCGTTCAATATTAGATGTGCGATGCTCGCTCTGTCGAGACGTACGCGACACGGGCCTGGCACGCGGAACACGTGACGTGGTAGGGTAAAAAATGGTTTAATGCAATATCGTGTCTTCGGAATTGCTTGTTAAAGGTGAATCGCCAGTACTCATACTGGATGCGAATATACGCTCACCAGTTAGCAGGTAGTCATTTCCCCGAGCATTTGCAATTACGCGTCCTATATGTTGTTCAGTGAGGTACATCTACATTGTACGAATGCCGGGCAACGGCCTGTCCCTGACCCTGCTTGATGGAACACACCTAGATATTAACACCTAGATATATAACTGCGTAGCATAAACGGAATTGATAATAAGAAAGCAATGAACAGATGTCGCAGGAGAGATGCTGACAACATATTGGCGGTACCTGGAAATTGGATATTTTGTCTCTGGGTAGGTACCGATGACATATGCGAAGTTGTGTGGTAGCGCAGTAGTATACATACATATAACTATTCTGACAATAGCGTAGGAACTGCTAACAAGTGCGATTTAAGCTCTGTGTAAGAGAAATTGACATTAAAAGCGCAGTATTGCACGCTTCACCCGTCCGTCATTTCCATCCTCAGAACATTCAAAGCTTTCTCTTCCACGCCGCAACCATCGCACAGTGGGGATTTTTCCGATCTAGCGCGTCTTAATTCAAGAAATCTTTTTTGGATTTTTGTTTATTTTTTGTGTCAGTTGGGCTACGAAATGTCTGAATTTTTCATATATGGCATTTTTTATCTGTAAGTCCACAGCGAGACTAGGAAAAATGCGCCCAAAGTTCACACTCATGCGTTATTACTCAATGCGCTCAGTAAGGCCCGAAAGTATAGCTCGATTTCATTGTCCTGTCCTGTTGGGTTTTATTCTTGCGAGGTCTTAAAGTTACATATATTCTGAAAGGCACCTTTATTAGGAATGGAATGGCAAACAGAAACTATGCCACTACCTTATTAAGGTCACAAAAATGCCATTTACACAAAACCCTGACAGACACCATATTGAAGGAATTGTATTCTAAATAAATGTAGGAAATCAACAATGTTCTCCACACTTTTCCACTCCGAAACAAATCCTATCGAATTCGCCACTTTCTCCTGCACAAGACAACGCCTAGTTTGGCTGCCGGAACTTGCCTGAACACTGAATATTCACATTGGAGTATCTTAACCCGCGCCCCACTGGGGGGGGCTATTTATAGCCCCCCCCCTCCCGTTTTTCTGCAATAACTTCCAAACCGCTTGACGTATCGACGCCAAACTTTCAGTACCTTTGGCTGCATCAATTTGACACCTTGTGTCAAAATTTAAACTTCGTACCTACCATAGGTTGGCCGGAAATGACGTCAGAGTGACGTCATGTTCGGCCGATTTCGACGCAAAACATTGAACCACGGCAATCGCTTCCAAGAGCTCAGTTTTTAAGCTAGATCCAATTTCTTTGCATGAGAGGACTCAGAATAGACTGCGCTATCAAACTGCTATCTCGGATTTTCGAAATTTTGAAAATTTCGAAAATTTTATATAATAAAATTCAAAATTTATATTTTTACATTTTTTTTTCAAAAACCTTTCGGCTTTTCGAAAAAACCGGAATATATGTGATAGAACGCATTATTATGACTAACTCTAGCAAGTTTTAGCTAAATATCTTCAAAACTGGCCAAGTTATACGCATTATTGCAAAAAATTAACAATTATTAATTTTTCAAATCAATTTTTCAGCACGAATTTGACATCGTACGCCAATATAAATAGCACCATCGTGTTCCTGAGCTCAAACTGCATCCAATAGACACCTTTTTTGTTGAAAAAATTTTAACTTCAAAATTTGACCTTTTTTGACCTGAAAGTGACCTGACCTAAGCGAAATTTGACTCAAAATGACCTCGAATGACACAGACGACATCAAATTCGAAATGTTTGTCCTAAATGGACCATAAAACATGTGTCACGTGACCGACGCATGATATAATATTTTCGTGACCTGTGATGACCTGACCTTGACCTGAAAATCAAAGTACAAGTTTGGTACCCTCAGAGTATCTAGAGCATCTGTTCACGAGTGTGTGAACCAAAAATGAGCCTGCTCTGACTTGTAAGACGGCGGCCAGAGCCCAAAACGTGAAGAAGCCAAAATGCTAATAATTTTTACTTTGACCTGACCTGTGACGTCATCAGTGACCTCGACGTCAATGAAATTAGGTTTCGCTCGACAGTTTTTCCGGGGCTATCAGACGCCGTTTGAATTTTGACGATCGGCCCAGTAGTTTCGGAGTTAGCAGGGGGGGGCTATGAATAGCCCCCCCCCCCCCCAGTAGGGCGTGTTATACGCAGACCCCAGTGGGGCGCGGGTTAATACCCCACTCTAGGAGCGCTAGGGCAAACAGCACGATATAGGTATGTCTCGGTGATAGGCGAATAATCTTGCTTCGTGATTTATATGATGCATATTTTCTGAGACACATTCATTAGGAATAGGATAACAAGCGTAAATTATACATACATACCGTAACCTTATTAACCCTCGCACTTGTGCGGAGGGGGAGGGGGAAGGGGTCGGATAAAACCCC